GATAACTGTCTTTTTCTGTCTGGCCATCAAAATAAAATTTTTCTGTTGGTGTTTCTTGATGAAAATGATGGTCAAGTAGTGCTCTTGCTTCTGGTGAATTGTATTTTTATGTTTTTAGTGGAGAAAATAAAAGTAGCTTGATGTCCAATTTTTCTGAGTTGCGCTGGAGGTCGATAACTGTCTTTTTCTGTCTGTCCATCAAAATAAAATTTTTCTGTTGGAGTTTCTTTATGAAAATGATGGCCAAGTAGTTTTCTTGCTTCTGGTGAATTGTATTTTTATCTTTATAGTGGAGAATTGAAAAGTTGTTTGATGTTCAAATGGTGGGAGGTGAGATGGAGGTCAAAAAAAAATGTCTTTTTCTGTCTGGCTATCAGAATAAAATTTTTCTATTGGAGTTTCTTGATGAAAATGATGGCCAAGTAATATTCTTGGCTCTGTTGAATTGTATTTTTGCATTTCAGTAGAGAATTGAAAAGTTGCTTAATGTCCATTTTTTTGGAGTTGAGCTGGAGGTCGGTAACTGTCTTTTTCTGTCTGGCCATCAAATAAATTTTTTACTGCAGAGATTTCTTGATAAAAATGTGGCTCTGGTAATACTATTGGCTCTGGTGATATGTATTTTTAAGTTTTTCAGGCTTGTAGCGTAGCAGCGATGCAAGGGAAATCAAGCCAGCTGTGCGCTTCAAGGGTAAATTGCACAAAAATGCCCTTGTACTGGTTTTACCATTTTTGGCTTAAATTTAAACATATCAAGAAAATGTTTAAAATGTGGTTTAAAATATAAATCATAACATCGCTAAAAAATTAAAAAAATTTGGAAAGCTATTTTTTTATAATTTTCATTATTAACTTTTGCAACAAGTCTCAATTCACCAACGATCATAAAATCTACATAATCAAAGAAACTAATTTTTCAAATCAATATATTAAAAAACATTAACGAGTTTTTCACTTATTAAGGCATCATCATCATAAACATCAGGAAGATTCTTTGCTAGAAGTCAGTAAAAACTTTTGATAAAAAACTTATTTACATTTTAGATTTCTGAAATAAAAAAACAGTTTCCTCAAAATCAAGAAAAATTTATCTTTTAAATCTTTATCACAAACCTACGTTGAGAAAGACTCAAGTCATAGTGATTGCCTAAAGAACACTGCTTTCTAAGCACAAAAACAAAAACAACAAAACATATGAAAAAAAACTTTGGTTATATAGTCTTCGTTTTTAAATTCAATTTAATGATAACGTCAATAACAAACACTTAAAAAATGTTTGAAATTTATTATACAGTGAAATAAACTTAAGAACAAAAATTAATTAATCAGAGTCTTCTTCATTGTTCTTGCTGCCGCCATCCTTGTAATAAGAAAGCATTTGTGCAATGTTCATCAGGTTTAGCCGTCGAGATCGACGTAACCAAGAGGCACCACGAGGAGGTAGAACTTTATTGCCTCTCAAAAAAAAATTAAAATCCGCAAATGCGGTTATAAGTGAATTTTTATTAATAAAAAAGATGTAACAGGTGGCCGTACGTGGCAATGAAGACTGCGGGCGGCAGGTCCCAGTTTAGGTCGTTCTCATTCGGTTTGGCCGTCCAATCGATGGGCTTCTCCTTCTTTTTCTTTGGGAACAAGTGGCCGTACGTGGCATTGAAGACGGCGGGTGGAAGGTCCCAGTTAAGGTCGCTCTCATTCGGCCTGGCCGTCCAATCGATGGGCTTCTCCTTCTTTTTCTTTGGGAACAAGTGGCCGTACGTGGCATTGAAGACGGCGGGCGGCAAACACCAGTTAAGGTCGCTTTCATTCGGTCTGGCCGTCCATTTGACGTGCTTCTTCTTCTTCTTCTTCTTTAGGAACAAGTGGCCGTACGTAGCATTGAAGACGGCGGGCGGCAAACACCAGTTAAGGTCGCTTTCATTCGGTCTGGCCGTCCATTTGACGTGCTTCTTCTTCTTCTTCTTCTTTAGGAACAAGTGGCCGTACGTAGCATTGAAGACGGCGGGCGGCAAACACCAGTTAAGGTCGCTTTCATTCGGCCTGGCCGTCCATTTGACGGGCTTCTTTTTCTTATTCTTCTTTAGGAACAAGTGGCCGTACGCGGCATTGAAGATTGCGGGCGGCAGGCACCAGTTCATCTCGTTCCAATCCGGACCAGCCGTCCAATCTACTTGTGCGGTAGTCATTGTTGTATCTGCAAGGACGATACAAAATAATGAAACGCCGTTAGTGATATTTTTACTTTTTCTTTTAATCCTCGTTTATCCTTCTCTAAGTATCAAGCCAACATAAAAGCCAGTTAATCAATTCTAAGCGTTTTGTATGCAACCACCACCTTTGCAAACAGACAAAAAAAATCCTGTTTAGTAGATTGACCAAACAGGCTGCATATACTCTCTCCCAGCAAAGAGAGCATTTATTGCAAATTAGAATTTGCTAAAGTCCATTTAGCCGTCAAGATCGACGTTACCAAGAGGCACCACGAGGAGGTAGGACTTTTTTGCCTCTCAAAAAAAAATTAAATCCGCAAATGCGGTTTCAAGTGAACATTTATTAATCAAATAATTCAAATGAAATAAAGAAAGGGGGCATGTAGACATTGACTGGGAGGCTAATGTCGATTAGCCTTTTTCCATTCTTTTTTTTGGAAGAAACTTTGTTTTTCCTTTTGTATGGTTGGCAAAAACATGTCGCCATATCGGGTCTTGAAATCGACAAGCGGGATGCGCCAGTCTATGTCGTTTCCATACGGCGAGCTTGTAAGATAGGAAATTCCGTATCGCGTTATAAAATCAACGGGCAAAAGGCGCCAGTCAATGTCGTTTTTAACGAGATCAACCGACCAGCTCATTGACTCGGTAGTCATTGTTGTATCTGTAAGGACAATACAAAATAAGGAAACGCCGTTAGTGATATTGTCACTTTTTTCTTTGTCTCTCTTTTTCTTAGTATCAAACCAGCATAAAAGCCAGTTATATAATTGTAAACGCTTTGCCTGTATACATCACATCTTAAACTCAGACAAAAACTCCTGTCTGATACATTGATCAGACAGGTAGAATATACTCTTTTAGAAAAAAGGGCATTTTTTTGCAAACTAATTACAGAGGTCTGTTAGCCGCCAAACAATTTTTAGTGTTTCCAAGAGACACGACGTGGACGTGGACTTGATTTGTCTCTCAAAAAAAATTGGGAAAATTAAGGCAAAAATTGGCCGCCAAGTGCATAATGAATTTTCTTTTCGAAAATTCATTATGCGCTTGGCGGCCAATTTTTCCTCAATCTTCCCTTGTTTTTTCTCTTTGCGGTACTTCACTACAACATTTTTACGACAAGCATATAAGAACTGACATCTTTTGATCCTGAAAAGTATAGTCAATCTCAACAAGAACAGTGGTAATCTCGTTAATCCATTCATGCGTGTCACTATTTAGATTACGAGGCACTTGACTACTTTTTGCCAATGACAACTATACTGCACAAAGTGCAGCATTAGAACTGTCAAAGTTTACAGAGGTCCGTTAGCCGCCAAATAATTTTTGACGTTTCCAGGAGACACGACGTGGACGTGGACTTGTTTTGTCTCCCAAAAAATTGGGTAGTCGCAAATGCGAGCTGGTTATGGTTTATTTAAAACAAAAAACAACTTTACAATATTAGAAAAAGTCGCCGTGCTCGAAGCCATTCGGATCGACATGAATGTCGTCACGATCAAACTGTGCGAGCCTGTCTTCTTCAAAGTTGGCGTAGTGTTCATCTCGGGGACGCTGATTGCGGCCTACACGAAACAGTAGCTGGCGACCACCGAGCTGGACCTACAAAACAAACAAAAGTAGTTTTGTTAGTTGTTTTTTGCTTTCAAATGCCATAAAACCAACCCCATTCCACGGATTGTTAGCGACAGGCGCAGCCCAATCCTCTTCTTCTGCTTCCGTTTCTGCTTCCGCTTCCGCTTCCGCTTCTGGTTCTGGTTCTGGTTCTGGTTCTGACTCCACTTTGAACAAATGCCCGAAGACAATGTCAAAAATAGGGGGCGATAGAGCCCAGTTGATGCAGTTGATGTCCGGGGCAACCGCCCAGTCGATCTCTTGGTGGTTCATTGTGCAATCTGTTCAAACGATAAAAAGAAAAGAATTGCCGTTAGTGATGTTTATAGAGCAATTTCCATCTTTTATTTAGATAAGTCATTATCGTATAAGCTACAGCAGTTACACAACACCAGAACAACTAATTTAAAACACTGTGCTCTGCTTTGCCTTCTTTTGCCACCCTTTGCCACTTTTTACCACCGCAAGAGTTTTGTGACAATCACACTGCACAAGATGCAGCATTAGAATTGTCAGATGCAGAGGCCCGTCAGTTAATTCAGAAAAAAAATCTGAATTATCCAGAGTGCACGACGAGGACGTGGGCTTGGCTTGCACTCCAAAAAAATGGGTAGCCGCAAATGCGAACTAATTATACTTTAATTACAAAAGTAAATGGAGATTACAATCCCTTGTAATCGACCGTCTCCTTATTCAGCTGGTTGACATCGTCCACCGACATCAAGCTGACGATCAGCTGGTGAATTTTGCTGCGCTTCTTCTTCTGGCGCTTCGGCTCGAACCAATTTGTCAATGAATGCGGGTTGTTCTCCATACATGCCAGCACGTTTTCTGGGTCCTTAAGGAAGTATTCAAAGTACTTCAGAACAAAAAGGCCGCAGTCGTAGAGGTTGGGCTGCTGTGGCACTTTGGGTGTCAGGATTTGGTAGTTGGAGAGCCTGGTCACCTTAGGTCCACCGTTGCAGTTCTTCTCGTTGAACTCCCATTCCAGGTACTTTAGCAGCGCCTTGACGTTACTCTTCACTACGAGGTCCATTTCACTATCGTTGTTGTTGCAGAGCGAATTCATGAAGATGATGGTGGCTTTCTTCGGTTCGCCCGCAACTGAACTCGGCGTTTGCACTTTTGACATCAGATTGTAGATGTTGCAGAGAATGACCAAAAACCAGTGCTTGTCTTTGATGAACGGCATGAAGAGGTAGTCCTTCTTGAAGATGTCTACGCCCTTTGTCCACGACTTCAAACGGTCGTCAAACATGCCTTTCTTCAATTTAGTCAAGCTCACAGAGAAGAGGGCGTCATAGATGAAGATGCGGTCGCGCAGGTTCTCTGGTAGCATCGTCTTCTCCCAGTGCTTCATATAGAAGTTGACGATGTTGTCATTCAGGTACTGCCCGTCACGCAAGCACATCAGATCTTGGCCCAACAGCAGGATCTGTTTCTTCTCTTCGGGCGGGTAGCGCACCACTACCTTTGCTTGCAAACTGGTTGTAGTCGGCATGACTGAAGCCTTTTCGCCGCTCTCGCTTTCATCGTCATCCAGGTTGATAAGTTCGGGCTCATTCTTTGGCTTTTCCTCTTTGCCCTTTACCGACACTACCTTATTGGCAGCCACAGAAGGCATAGCGATTGGCACTTTGTCGTCAAACTTGTGTCGCTTGCTCTTGGAGAAGTCGGTCGATTCACTGGCAAGCCGTTTGATCAACTCTGATGTTTTGGTGGTGGTCATCGCATTCGCGTTAAGCGCCCGTTTTAGCTCCAAATTCTCTGCCAACAGCCTGTCCACCTTCTGATTTAACGCGTAGATGTAGTTGGAGATGTGCTGAGGCATAACCATCATTTTCTGCTTCTCTTGGTCGTTTTTGAGCTGAGCAAAAGCGCGCGCCTTTTGATACCACGGATTGATGTTCTGTTTGTGGTCACAATTGTTCATGATTCTGTTTGAACGAGAAACAAAAAGGAGGGTTTGCCGTTAGTGATATTTTCACTCTTTTTTTTCTCTTTTTTTGTATCAAATTCAGAAACAAGAACATCTCGAGATAAATCAGGACAGTGTGATGTGCTCTGCCAGCACACACCACATCTGCAACCGCACATTTGTCTGGTGACCAAGTAGAAAACTACTCTTTTCCAGCAAAAAGAGAGTTTTTTTTTGCAAACTAGAGTTTGCTGAAGTTCATTGGCCGCTAAAATTTGCGTTACCAAGGGACATCGCAAAGAAGATGAACTTTGCGTTTCTCAAAAACAAAATAACTTAGAGTTCGCTAATGCGATCCACCCACCCATCCCACTCTAAGTTTTAGGAAAATCAAAACTAGGGTCACGCTTGTGTGTTTAACTTCAAGTTTTTCTTTGTTTCCTTTTATAGAAGCTAAAATAAACCAAGTAATCATTTCCTCACTCAAGTGTGTGAGGTTTCACTTGATAAGCCCCCTTTGATCATAAAAATCTAGGTCATGGCCAGATCACTTACATAACACTTCTATGCATTATTGGATCCTAACAAGTGACGGGACTTGCCTTTGTGACAATCGTCATCACTGTTCTGCAAAACAGCTCGCTAATTTTCACAAAGGTTACTGATCAGTTGGTATCGACCAGCTATTCCCGAGTAAATGATAACTTGATTCATTTTAGCTTAATCTGTTTCAACCAGTTTATTCCAACTTTAATAGCAAGAAATTGCTTTTTCATTTTTTAACTGGATGAAACTTGCAGAGGTCCGTTGGCCACTAATTGTGTTGCCCGGGGAGCACTACTTGGAAGTGGACTTGTCTTACTCCCCATAAATAATCTAGAGCCCGTTAACCCAATACACACACCATCCGACTTAAAGGTAATAATAAACACGACTTGATCACTTGATGTGATCACTGTGTACTTAAAAAGCACTAGGCGAGCTCTAGCACTCTTTTGTACAACAGTTGTCGGTTCATATCATCAAACGTTGGTTGGCGGTAATTGAACAGGTTTTAGCCTAGAGGCGTTCAGCTAAAATCAGACAAATCATTGTTAGCTTTGTGTCATTGTTTCTCAAACAATCACACGCTGATATTTCTGATATAGTCCTGAGAGTAGAGTCAAGCTTCTCAAAGACATCTTTCTTGTTTCAGTTTATTGCATGAACACACTTGCCATTTTGAGGTTGTCGCTTAACGTACGTAAACGAGCCTTAAAATTCGCTACTAGCAAGGGCCAAGAGGATCAACTCCCAACCGGCTCTGCAATAATTCAACGGTTAAAGTGCTTTCGCAGCTTTAAGTTGGCTGAAAACAAGAAAACAGCTCAAATGAGCAGCCGAAGCCTGTTGGCTAATAGCTACCAACAGGCACAACCCCTGAAAGTTCAGTGGTCGTAGCGCACAGTTCACACCAGTTAAGCATGCTGTCACTAGAACGGAAACACACACGAATGTAAGATTCGGCGCTGGTATACTAATATGCAGCCATCAGTTTTTAGAAAGTCAGCCACATATTTGACAAGCATATGCTTACTAGCATCTTTAGTCCTGAGAGTAGAGTCAAGCTTCTCAAAGACATTTTTCCCTCGTTGATTTTGCCAAGTACATTGGCAAAATCCATAGTTCTCTTGGCTGTGGTTTCTCTAACGGGCAGCTTGGAATGAGCAGCCCAGGCCTGTTGGCTAATAGCCACCAACAGACACAACCACTAAAAGTTTAGTGGTCGTTACGCCCAGTGCGAGTCGTTCCACAAACAGAAAACTGTTTCTAAAACGGCACCACACACGAATGCAAGCATTCGGCGCATTCGGTATACTAATTTACGGCTACTAACATTTAAGAATAAGTAGCCACCAACTTATTGCCTGCGACCGCTCGGATCACTTTTGGCTCACTGGGCACGCAGAAGGCACTTTGGCTCAAATGCCCCCTTGTGCGTCAGGCGTCGGCTGATACCTAGGCAAACCGCTCTCTCGTCTCCTCGAGAGTGGTCCCCATATAGTATACAAAAGTGGTGAGATATTTTTCCAGCAGTGTGGAGTACTTTGCCATTTTTTTCTCTCAAAATCAGCCGAGTCGGCCGGCCCCTCCGTGCGAACGAAGGGAGGAGCTTATTCACTCTGTACCACTCGCCACTGTTCATGTGCTGTTGGCGGCATTTCTGTCTGTGAGAGATCTCAAAGTGCTCAATGCGAGATCGGCCACCGTAGGCGGTCCTCTCACTATCACTGTTTTTTGTGCCGCTTCGGCGCGCCACGACTGCACAAGCATTTTTGTGTTCCACTACCTCTGTGAACTGTAGTAGTGGCACAAACAGTGGCTTGAGACTTTTCTTTTCACGGAGCTGCAAGCCACCTTTCGTGTTTTCTACCACTGTGCAGTGGATGTACTGGCAACGCGTATGCATTCCGTGAAAGGCGTCCGTACTTTTCAAGCCGTTTGACTGCTTACTATTTCTGCGCTTTGCCTTAACGCAACGCGCTCTAGCTTTCCGTGCCTACGATTCACTGAGCGACAAATCAAGCTGGCACTTTATTAACAATGTGCCCTTGTAGTGGTTTCATGATTTTTTGGCTTGCATTTTTTAAGGTTTAAACTAGAGTAAGTACTCAGATAGTTGACAGTGTGCGGGGTTGTGTTCTGCCAGTGTTTCAAACTTTGCTCACACAAGCTCACAGTGGGTCATCCAAGTGAAATGTCATCAACCATCTAAGTACTTACTGTACAACTAGATTTGCTTACAAAAACTTTTTTAATTTAACTTGACATCCATTTTGCTCATTGTAGACAAAAGAACAACCTAATCATACCATATTATACTTTGTCATTTAGAAATTCAAACAGGAAACATTTTTCTCATAAGTTTAAATTTAAGCCAAAAAAATTGTAAAACCAGTATAAGGGCATTTTTGTGCAATTTACCCTTAAAGCGCACCGCTGGCTTGCTTTCCCTTGCATCGTTGCTACGCTACTCAAGCCAGTCTTGCACAGTTTGCATTTTTTGGAGTTGCGCCGGAGGTCGATAACTGTCACCTTTTGTCTGACCATCAAATAAAAACTTTTATGTTGGTGTTTCTAGATGAGAATAAAGCTCTAGTAATACCCTTGGCGCTGGTGAATTGTATTTCTGAGTTTTTGATGAAAAATATGGAAGTGGCTTAATGTCCAATTTTTTGTAGTTGCGCTGGAGTTTGAAAAAATGTCTCCTTCTGTCTGGCCATCAAATAAAAACTTTTACTGCAGAGATTTCTTTTTTTTAAATGTTTATGAACTACTTTTGGTTCTAATGAACTGTATTTTTGCGTTTTTTGGTGTAGAGTGGAGAAATAGTTTAATGTCCAAATGGTGAGAGGTAAGAGGGAGGTCCAAATCTGTCTTTTTCTGTCTGATTATAAAATAACATTTTTTATGTTAAGGTTTTTTTTGATAAAAATATTGGTTAAGTAGTTTCACTTGCTCTAGTGAATTGTATTTTTACGTTTTAATAAATTTAAAAAATGGCTTGATGTCTATTTTTTTTTAGTTGCATTGGAGGTTGATAACTGTCTCCTTCTGTCTGACCATTAAATAAATTTTTCTCTGTTGTTGTTTTTTTGATAAAAATAATGGTCAAGTAACACTCTTGGCTTTGGTAAATTGTATTTTTATATTTTTAGTAAAAACATATAGAAATAGCTTGATATCCATTTTTTTAGAGTTTAGTTTGAGGTCGATAACTGTCTTCTTCTGTCTGACCATCAAATATATTTTTTTAATCTGGATTTCGTTTTTTAAAAATTGCTTAAAAATTGCTTATGGCTATAATAAATTGTATTTTTACAATTTATTTGTAAATTTTTAAAAATTAGTTTGTTGTCTTTTTTTTGAGTTGAGCTGGAGGTCCAATCATGTCTCATTTTGTCTGACCATTAAATAAAAAATTTTCTGTTGTAGTTTCTTGATGAAAATGATGGCCAAGTAGTTCTCTTGCTTCTGGTAAATTGTATTTTTGCATTTCGGTAGAGAATTGAAAAGTTGCTTAGTGTCCATTTTTTTATAGTTGTACTTGAGGGCGATAACTGTCACCTTCTGTCTGGCCATCAAATAATAATTTTTCTATTGGAGTTTCTTGATGAAAATGATGACCAAGTAGTGCTCTTGTCTTTGGTAAATTGTATTTTCAAGTTTTTTTTGAAATTTTTTAAAAATTAACTCAATGTACAAATGGTGAGAGGTGAGATGGAGGTCCAAAACTTGTTAAGTAAAACTTTGTAACTTAAAAATATTTTAATTAATTAATTTAATATAAGTTGTAAATTTTTTATTTTAATAAAATTGACAATTTAAAAGAACAAAAAATTGTACAAACAATAAAAAATAGATGTGCAAGTTGTCAGTAGTGCACCAGTGCCGCATGATGTTTTGTAAGTTTTAGTCAAGGAAAGCCAACGCAAAAAAAAGCTTAAAGGGAAAAAAAGATAAACTTGAGTAAGCACGTAGCTTGTGTGTTACGGACAGTTTTTACGGCACGCAAAAAACGCTGTCGCTTAAACCATACACAGTGGTAGCGATAACGGAAAAATGCTTCTAGCTCTGTGACAAGCAATAACACAAGCCACGGCAGTGTACACTTTAACGCACTGCAGCTGTAGTGGAGCGTGTGCGTGCTTGTGCTATCATGCAAAGGCAGTGCGATAAAAAATGCACTGGTAAGGAGAAAAAGCCGTACGGAGGCAATTCTCGCATTGAGCTCCTTGACAACTCGCACTGGCGGAGAAGCGACCAACTGCACGTATAGAGTGGCAAGTGGTATTAAGTGTTTTTGCTCTCCCCTTTGTTCGCACGGAGCGGCTGGACAGATCGACTGATTTTTGACTGAAAAAATGGCAAAGTACTCCACACTGCTGGAAAAATATCTCACCACTTTTGTATCCTTTAGGGGGACCACTCTCGCGGAGAGACGAGCAGTAGTCCCCTGTGGTAAGAGCGGCGCT